AATAATAAAAAAAGGGTTTTTTTTTTTTTTTTTTTTTTTAGTTTAAAGCAATAGATCCTACTCTGATTTTTTTAAGCTATTTAAATAAAACAGTTAAGGTAAAATGAACCAAAAAATCCCTAGCATGAAATAACATAACCTAGTAATCATGCATTTAATTTTGGAAATAGGAAAAGCATAGGGCCCTTGACCTATATTAAAATGATAAGCTATGGAACATGTAAAGTACAGCTATTTCAAATGCTTTAAGGAGGTATGTTAAAAAACACAAAACTAATTTTCAATATTAATTTCAAATTATTAGATGGGTGTTTTCAAAAGTGTCTTTCCAAATTTTTTTTATACTGTTCAAAATATTTGAACAACTTTTGTAACAATCCTTGTTTAAAAAGAAACAAGATAACACGTTGTTTAGATTTAGGGTTAAAATATATACTAAAATAGCTTTTTCTGATCTCAAAGATTGACACAGTTTTTCTTTCAATAGATTTAATACCAAAACCACTATAATGAGAAGGGATTTTATTTTTAAGTTTTTCATTTTACAATTTTTATTTTTTCTATAGTATTGAAAAGACAGCCGACTCTTAATTCCTATTCCTTTCATCAGTGCAATGAATATGCTCAGTTCTTTGAGCACGTTCTGAAAAATGAAGGACAAGAATTTTCTTTTGAGTTGTATTTTTGCCTTTCCTACATTGTGTTGCAGTGCAGTTCGGATTTGGTGTAGCTGAACATCTTGTGTCATTGGAGTATTCATCTGAAATCTTTACCTCTTTGCTGCAGACACTATTTAGCTTTGGGACTGTTGTTGCTAATACATTATTAATGCAACTTCGTTTATGCTTGTAGAAGCAAAGCTGTAGTTTGGCTTAAGTCATTTGACTTTTGTTTTAAAAATTAATAACACAGTAGTTTTGTCGCTACTTTCATCCCTTCCTTGCCACTTAGGCGAAGCAGAAATAGAAGTACCGGTGGAAGGGACTGTGTCTTGAAAGGGTTGGCTCAGCCTAACAGTGGCTGGGATAGAGAGCTGGTACAGAAGGTGAATATTTTTGCTTGAAGCAGAGCAGACCATTTTGTTCCCCTTGGCAAGCAGCCGCAGGTGCTGCTCTGCAAGGCTCAGGAAAGAGCCTTCCCTCGCCTGGGGGGAGCACTGCCTTCCTCCTGGGGTCGGGGGCAGACTTTTACGTCGTGTCTCTGTCAGAGAAGTAAGCTCCTGAGTGAGCTTTTACAGCTTTTCAAAATTTTATTTCACTCAGTGCTTATTTGAAGGCAGGTTGAGGGTTTTTGGTTATCATGTGCCTGTAGGGATTTCATCTTTTGGAAGACATAGAGCATGGCAGCCCCAGGTACTGATAACCAGAGGATTTCTCAAATTGCAGTGCTGTCACTGTCAGGCATTTTATGGCATATTGACATTCTCGAAGGTATTGAAGATGTCTTTCAGAAATGAATACAGTTTTGTGTTGCTGAAAAGTGTAGTAGCCATGTAATAAGGTACAAGCAGTTCCACATACATAACATTGCAAGGTGTTACCATGATAGAAAACAAAGCGATGAGAAATATAGACATGAGGCTACCTATGTTTTGTTTGTCTTTCATTGTTCCTTAGGTATATAACACCTCTAACTATTTAATGGCTGAAGATATTTGGAAGAACCTAATTAGAATGGAAGGGAATTTTTTTCCTCTCCTGAGAATATTTTGACTGTTTACCAAAAGTTCAAAATTGGCAACTTTTTGGTAAATAAGGGGAAAAAATAATTCAGAATTGCTTTCGTGGCTGTTGAGTGGTTGCTGCCTGTTGACATTCTCTTCCATAGGTCAGGGCTTTCTGATGGAGCTACCTTTCCCTTAAAACACTATGGAGAAGTCCAGAGGAGAAGTACAACTTGGTCCTTTAAAAACACAGTCACTTCCAAGTGATAATGTGACAGCAGTTCCAAACGTTTCAAGTTTGAGGTGGTTGAGTTTTAACTGAAAATAAGGGTATTCACTTCACAAAAAGAGAGTCTATTTACTCAGTCTATTTAAGTCTTTTGCAAATTTCTTTTTCAGTATTTTTTACTATTTCCATGTATTCTCTGTAGTCTTTCTTCATTACTTTGAATAACGTGTGTGTAAGCTTTAATCTTGGGAGGAATGAAAAGGCCTAATTTAACATATATGGTGATTTGATTTATGGATGAACATAATTTTCTCAGAATTCTGTATTACTTACTTTAGCTGACTAAGGCAGCCTGGTCACTCAGTCTTCTGGTTATTTAAACAGCACTTGCTATCTTGTAAAAGAAGAAATTAGTTGTTATTTTCCCTGTTTTCTATGGGGCTTTACACTAACTTTTCTTTTCTCTTTTCATTTGTCCGTCCCTCTTGCCTTGCTGCCATGGTAAAAGCCTAACAGAAATGTCTGCAAGTAGCACATCTTCTGCAGGCTCTACAGTAGCTTCTACTGTATCAACACGGCCTCGACATCAAAAGTCCATGTCTGCCTCTGGACATCCTATAAAAGTTACACTGCCAACCATCAAAGATGGCACTGAAGCTTACCGACCAAGGTAATAAATTGATTATTATTTCTTTAATGCTGTGCACTTTAAAAATGTTGTTGTTCAGTTCATGATATGCTTCAATATGTTTGCAATCTATTTGAAACTGTCATGTTGCATTCTGTTTCGAAACAGTAGCTTACTCAAGTAGTGTGGGTATTACAGATGATTTAAGCCTGAGCTTGTTCATCACACGTTTGCACACAGTTAAAGATGTTCCTTGACTGCCTCCTCCTGGAAGCTTCTGGAAAACCTAAGTAGTTAAAAATTTAACTAATTTAGACAGGACTGTACAGCACAGACCACCATAAATTCAAATGAAATACTGAAATGTTAACCTCTTGGTTTTGTAGATTGCTAGGCTCATTTCTGTCTAAAAGCACCATAGTATAGTTGCTCTTACTATTAACTGCCCAAATAGCTTTATACACTTACTATTTGTGCCAGATGATTGCTTCTTAAGAAATATCTGTTAAGTTTTTGGAGTGCTTGTGTGTTAAAGGTTTTGATGAACATATTCTTCTGGAAGAGGGCTGGGAACACTTTCAGATCTTACTACAGACTTTTCTGCCTTTTTTCCTTTGTCCTATTATCTGTGTATACATTTTAACTGCTTTTAATACTTGAGATAATTTGATTTTACAATGAAAATCTCTTGATTATTTCTAAGTATGAATCATAAAAGCAAATCAGTAGCAGATTCAGGTTTTTAAAAATAATAAAAAGAAAAGAATCAAGAGCGGGGGTTTTTTTCCTATCTTTGAGAAATGGTTGTCATGTAGGAGGGTTTCTAGCATAGTCTTTCTCTTTATTTATGCTTCTGTTTTCCCAGCAGTGCAACTCAAAGAGTGCCTGCTGCTTCCCCGTCTGCTCATAGTATTAGCACTACCACTCCAGACCGAACCCGCTTTCCTCGGGGGAGTTCAAGTCGAAGCACTTTCCATGGTGAGCAGCTAAGGGAGCGGCGTAATGCCACTTACAATGGACCGCCCGCCTCACCATCACATGAAACCGGTGCTTTTGCACATGCTAGAAGAGGGACATCAACTGGTATAATAAGCAAGATAACTTCCAAGTTTGTTCGCAGGTTAGTACTTCGATTTTTAAGAGAAAAAAACAAACAAATGGAAAAAAAAGCCCAGCCTATAACTAGGGCCATAATTGCAAAGTCATGGAGAATTTCTAGTTTAAGTCTGAAGTAAATGTAAATTTAGTTAGAATGCTGCTTGTTTTGTGTGTTCCTTCCAGAACCTGCCTTGTTTTACTTCTCTGTGTATATTGTAACCATTGTTTGACCAGCTATTCTGCTTCTTTATCTTAAAGGAGCAAGAGAACGCTACTTAAAAGGGTTTTTTTGCTCATGCCTTACAGCTAAAATACAAAGATGCTACAATTAAGTTAAAATCAAATGAACTTAAATGCTGTGAGCAGTGACTTAAAAATAAGTCATTATTTAATATTAACAATATTTTACTTTTTTAACTGGGTGCAGTTTGTTGCAAGGGCTATATTTACAGCAATTTTATTGCTGTGCTTAGAGGGAATAGGTATTAACAAATTATTTCAGGGAATTCTAAAATCTGTGAATAAATGAGAAGCTTAGAAGTGGGCAGAAGTCTGGATGTCTGGAAATACTAATATTTCAGTATCATGCAGCCTCTCATATCACGTTACCAGCTTCTTCAAATGTAAGTTCGGGATTCTGAAAGAAGAAAACCCACACATCCTGGACCTGCGTTCAATCCTGTGATGATGCGAACAGTAATAATACTGTGAGGAGAGGTGCTGGGAAAGATTTTCAAATGCACTGTTTAATATCAAGTGACTGTTAACTTAACAGTCACAGTAGCTTTCCCAAAAGGGGACTTAATTTTCAGTTTGCCTCTCTCTAACAGTGATTTACGTATAATTCTTAGGCCTACTTACGGATGTGTCCATACTGCATTATTGTCAGTTTTACAACGGAATTATATCTTGGAAACATCTATTTTCTTTACAGAATCATGCTGTTATGTACTGAATTCTATAATTTGTGTGTGTTTCACAAAAAAAAAAAAAACCACCCAAAAAAAAGGATAAATTCAAAGCTAGGTTAAGCTAACAGATGCAAATTTGTAAGTAAAATATCATGAATTGCATAAGGTGATATCACAAGGGAAAAGAAGAGAGAAAGCTAGAAATGCAGTGATGTTCCTCATAAAATCGATTTAACCTGGTGAGCTGGTAGTGTGTCTAAGTAATACCTCCTATGATGACCCTAAAAAAAAAAAAAGTATGTGAATTATTTTCTTTTTTCAGAAACCTGAAGATACAGGACTATGATCCTCCATTATTGGTATCTCCAGCACTTACATAGTTGGGGGGAGAGAGTTTGTTCTCTGGTTTTAAAAAGAGAAAAAAAAGTTAGGTAGTCAACTGTGGTGTCAGTGTAGATTTCCAAATGGGATGAAAGTTTTTTTCTGTTAAGTAACTAACCGATTTCAAGAGCATGGGCTGGTTTTTTGCATTATAGCTCATTGTTATTTGCAAGGAATGGTATCGTGAATTTTTTTGAAGAGTCAGATCAAAGAAAAAATATTTTCATTATATTAAACTACAATATTAAAATAATATTGTAAACTGTTAACACTGTAAGTTGATGTCTTTTAAAATTATCTGTACTATAGAACATTTTTATACCGTTTCCTATTATGTTTTATACTGCTAAAAATACATTTTGCTATAGTGAAGGCCTTGCAGGGTTTTTGTTTGTTGTGTTGCTGGTGGTGGTGGAGTTTTTTGTTGGTGTTTTGTGTGTTTATTTTTTTTTTTTAAACTTTGGGTTGTTTGAGACTCCTGGGATTACATGGGTGGAGGTTCGGGGGGGGGTTGCTGTTCTTTTAATTGGCTCACATAACTGCATGCCTTAACTTCTGTACTGTTCAGGAAATAATGGTTTAAAGCATACTTTGATTAAAAGGTGTCACGAAAGACTTTTTTTACTATCTTTTGGCAAAGGTAAATGCCTTTTCTGGTGAGTATATGAAATAAATGCATAATGAGAATGCTTAATGAATAGGGTATTGAAGTATTTTGTATCAATGGTTTATGTCAAATGATATTTCTCTGATGTTATTTACTAAAGTATTTGTGTTTTGAAGATATTAAATTAATTAGCTAATTGAAATTGGGTGCTAAAATGTTTGTACAGCAGCACTAGGAACATACCTAGGTGGCTTATACAATCTATGGATATATTTCAAGTGGCTTCAGACTAAAAAGGCGTAATACAAAACCATTCCTTGGTAAAGTACAGCTCTAATTCAACAGGATAAAAAAAGATACGTTTAACCTCAAGCTCACCAGTAATCTTACCTAAGTCAAGGTAACGGCTGATTTGCTTGAAGTTAAGCAGATGCTGAAGTAACCTTTCTGAACTGGGCTCCAAACATTTGGTCTCGCAAACTCTTAGGCACGTCTTCTCTTTAATTACTTGAGTGTGCTTAAGCATGGGCATGTACCTAAATGCTTTCAGGACTGAGGTCTAAAGGCCTGGCCCGGAAGGGTGCAGAGTGGAGCCCCCCTGGACCACCTTGATCGACTACTCCTCTGTGCTTGCTGGAATTACATGTGGCCATTGCTCTGTCTGCAGTAGGTTGAGAACAACACGTTAATTTTACCATCAGTTTAAAAAAAACATTAATCAATTACATGTCAGAGCTGAAAGAAGTTAAGGTATCATAAAGGGAAATTAAAATTACAGCTGTGAAAAAAATACTATTAAACAGTATTAGGTTTGACATTACTATACTGATTTTTTTTTTTTTTTTTTTTTGTTCAGCAGCTATTTAACGTTGTTCTAGATGTAGGTTTTCTTAACTTTTATTTTTCACCTTTATCATTGAATCTCAACCTTAACTTTGTTTTGAGGGATCCAAGTGAAGGCGAAGCCAGTGGCAGAACTGACACCTCAAGGTGAGGAGCCACTATTAATACTTCGCTCCTAGGTCTTTCGCATCAAGGTTTAAGTGATTTCTTAAAGATTTTTAATCAGGATGTAAAATAGAATAGCGCTTAAGTAATCTGCATTTCAAAAATGTTTTTTATTTGGGGGGAGGGGGTTTTGGTGAGGTTCTTTATCCCTCATTTTTGCTTTCTTGCAATGTATTTAATATAAAACTTTATTTAAGCATAATCCTTTGAATAATAAAACCCCCTGTAGGAGCTAACCAATCATTTAGGCACTTAAAATCGTGTTTTGGCTTATAAATATTTAATGGTGTTTACTTTTGGTTTCAGTGGAAAATGTAGTATACTTTGTGTGTGTCTGTGTGTATATATGTATATATTAAGCTTTTACTATAGTTACATACTGTGTTCATTACTAAAGCTGCTGTTTGCCAGAAGTAAACACCTTACAGTCCCTGAGAAATGAATGTCACTTTGCACTGAGAAATAAAATGTGACATTCAGACAAAAAGGGTGGTGACTGCTAAATATTGAATTTGTATGGCAACCGCCGTACACAAGCCTATAGATGCTTTGTTAGTAATAAAGCATTCCTTCATAAGCTCATTTTGCAGTATATCTGCTCTTTTGCCATGTTTCAGCATTTGGTTCTGCATTTTTGGTGTGCTTAGCACAGTGCATAACTTTTATTTTTATGCTCTCTAATGAACAGGCATTGTAGTTGGCATTCTAAACTGGTCATGTACAGAACATATCGACTTAGTTTTCAAAACAGAAAGCCTTTATTAAAAAAAGCAGCATATTCTTAACAGGATACATTGTTTAATACACAATGCATTTAATCTACGTTAGCCCTTTTCAATTCAAAGTCTATTAGCCATCGAATTCTTGACGTGGAAAGGGAAAAGAGATTAATCAAATGTTCAAATGAAATGAAGTGTGAAGTTGCTTTCAGCTCTTGCTTTCATTCTCTAGCTTCCTCTACTTTTTGTCATCCTACAGTGTCTGTTTTGGGCTAAAAGTCGTTTGAGATCTTATCCCTGCCATGCTCTATCCCTTAATATCGATGTGGTTCTCTGGGGATCACACTGCAAGTTAAATGAAAAATGCTTGTTTTGACTCCTCTCTGAATAGCCACAGTTTATAGACTATCAAGATGAGAACAGCACCTTTCCCCAGCGATGCATGGGGAGGCATCAGGCATCTCAAGTACCTGGGACAAGAACAGAAATAGTTGGCTGTGGAATTACTTTAAAATAATTAGTGCTGTTTCTCAAAATGCTTTCTACAACAGAATAAGTAATCTATTAGGTAAGGAAGTGTCAGAGCAAGATCATTCATTGGAAACTACTCCCTTGAAATTTTGTCCAAGTAATTTTATCAACAAAAATACTTGGTGTCTACACGTTTCTTCTGTGAAAAAGCTGCTGGCTGTGTACTCAACTGGTTGACAAACAAGCTGTTTACGACCAAATTACAGCACAAAATTCTGCTTCATCAGTTAAAATAAAGCACGTTATTATAAGGTCTTTCTACACAGAGAGAGGTCAAAAATACATAATAAATGCAAAAGGAGGGGAAGGCGGAAAAGAGGGGAGGGAATTAACAGAAGACCTGTGAATCGCAGGGTGGGGGTTCTTCCTCTGCTGCTTTTACAGTATGATTTATGCTTCAGGATTGTGTCCCTCAACTTCAGTTTTGTTGGTGTATGGCATGCTCCAGATCATGAAATCAGCAGAACTTCAGTCATGCTTTTACATAGATTCCACTTTCTTTAGAGCAGTATGGAGTAACGTGTGTCTGCTGCAGTTACCATTGCACATGTTGTCATCAGAACGTTTTAGAGCAGGGGTTTCCAGACTTGCTTTGCTTGTGTGCCACTGCTGGGAGCTGCACCAGTGCTGGTAGCAGCTCCCAGTGCTGTGCCGAAGCGCGCGTGAGAGTAGGAGATGGTGCGCAAGTGTTCCAACAGTATCCACCCAACTCTTCGAATTAGCGTGCGTGTGACTAGTGGTGTGTCAGTCGCAGTTTAGAAACCCCAGTTCTAGAACTGTATTTCTCTTCTGTCTCTTGGCTATACTGCTTTTATTTTTGACTATTCTGTATGTCACTTCTTCCAGGAGTGCTTCTGGGGAGCCAAAAGACAGAGAGAAGGAGGATAGTAAAGATTCGAAGCCACGCTCCTTGCGGTTCACGTGGAGTATGAAGACCACCAGTTCTATGGACCCAAATGATATGATGAGAGAGATTCGGAAAGTGTTAGACGCTAATAACTGTGATTATGAACAAAAAGAGAGGTTTTTGCTCTTCTGTGTTCACGGTGACGCACGACAAGATAGCCTTGTTCAGTGGGAGATGGAAGTCTGCAAACTGCCGCGATTGTCGCTCAATGGAGTTCGTTTCAAGAGAATATCTGGGACTTCTATCGCATTTAAGAACATTGCATCCAAGATAGCAAACGAGCTTAAGCTGTAAAGAGTACCTAAATTTTTTGGGATCAGGGAAGATTCATACATGATCTACACTTTGAATGTACTGGTTACGCCTAATGTGATTGGCCTGTGAAACTCCCTATGTAGAAATTGCCCTTATTGCAATAAGGTTATACATAGTTATTCAGAATTGTAAAGTTAAATCCAGTATGACCTATATTAAATAACTGTAGCTAAAGAAGTTATGTTCACATGTACAGGTAAGTATATAGAGCATTCTGTTCATTTTATGTTCATAGAGTTGTATAATAAAAAGATGACTGCTTAAAATCAGATCTTGTATTGTATAGTTGATTTCTGCACAGAAATGTATGTTTGATGCTTTCAGTTGGAAAAGTTCTTCCCTATCATTTCATTTATTCAGATCTTGTATAGTTGTCTAGATTTCTGCACAGAAATGTATGTTTGATGCTTTCAGTTGGAAAAGTTCTTCCCTATCATTTACATTTTTGGTGGTTTTTATAAGTCTTACCTCTATCATGCGTTTTTTAAAAAACTTGTGTCCTGAGTCAAATGCACAAAAATAGTTTTCACAACTGTAGCATGACCATTTTTAATTATTTAAAGGTTGTTCATGATTTGAACCAAAAGTCGATGACTAATCGGCTTTTGATCTACACGAGACTGTTCCTGCTTATCTTTGGCTCTTATCCTTGTTATTGGACGGTGTTTAGTTGGAGGAAAAAAAAAAAAAAACACACATGTTTACAGTGTTGGCACTTACAGTTTAAAAACTTTGTTCTGCCTTGGGCCAGCTCAGAGCTGTGGGGGAACAGAAACCGGGCGTAAGTGATGTTCTGTCTGCAAATTACAGTGCTTGCTCCCATGGCCCATTAACAAATGTAGCACCAAAACGGAGAACCGTAATTATTTCATTTGAATATCATGGTGTAAAATATCACTTGTTTGCTGCCTTCAGAATACTATAAATTCCATTTTATGGAAATGTATTAATATTAGGACTGTTTAATAGCACAAGATAATCTGAAGTGTTGACCAATTGTATAAGTTAATAATACCACCTCAGGAATTAGCTTGGCTTTTGGAACATGTGCCCCCAAAGAGTACATGCAATTCCACCTAATATTTTACAGCTAAACATACATTGTTTATAATGATAAATTGTTGATTTATGCTTTCGTGGTTGTACAGTTTGTTCCCATGTAACCTGTTTGTGTTTAATATTTTACCAGATTTCTTGTATTTATTCCACATCATTATGCCTGTAATGTGCAGCTTTGTAATTAGGCACTTGCCTTACAGAAAAGAAAAAAAAAAAAGACACCCACATTTTTTTCCTTCATAATTAATGATTATAAACTATGTAAAACCACTAGTACTGGTACATTTTAATACTTGTTATTTTGTACTGAATTAACCATAGAGGTTGGTTGTGCAATGTTATTTAATGTCGTAATTACTGTAATATCAACATATGGGCCCCATCTGCGCACTCTCGTGAAGACTAGAAAGTTCATTAAGAAATTGTCACTTTAAAAAATAAAAATTAAAAAAAAAAAGCTGTGGTAAACTCTGTAACCCTAAGTTAGAAGGCTGTAAGTGTAGTAAATGTGCCATTCTCTGATGGCTTCTTGACCGAGATGGACTTTACATACTGTACTGTGATGTAGCTTTCCTATGTAACAGTTATGTTCGGAAATGGACGTGTATTGTTGCCTTAGAAAAAGGGTGGTGTTTGGAAAGAAAGAACTGTAGCCCCTTTTCTTTTTTTTTATCTGATGTTCATTGAAACAAAATCTGATGCAAGTCATCTTGATTCACTGGTGCACTCTATTAAAACTTACTTGAACAGTTCTCATACTAAAATACTTGTTGTTTGCCCTTTATGAAAGCGCAGTCATTACTGCAGGTAGCAAAATAGTCTAAAGGTGTACAGACTTCATCTTCAACACTGTGTGAATTCAGGATTAGCAGCGCGTTGGTTCTGGGGTCCTGCGCTCTCCAGAAAGTATCGGTGGTTTTGCACTTCTTAGAAATGGATGTCCAGGAGCTTTTCCAGAAATTCCCTAAAAATGGGCCTCGGGAGGGGTTTGTGTGTCTGCTCAATTTACCCGCAAATGTCCATGGATGTTCAATTAGCCTTGAAAATACACCACTGGAACGTAACCGTCATGTTAATCCAAGATCGTGTATGAACTTAGTCACGAAGCAAAACCCTTTGCCTTTTCAGAAGGTTCAGTGGAAAAAATACAGGTCATGCTGTGAGACAGTAGAGTAAGTACTTAAGCTAGCTTGCCCCTTTACAGGCCGTGTTTTCACAGGGCTGACTTTGCCCTAGATTGTCGCTGGTTTTCAGCGCTTCATGTAACCAGAGCTGTATTAATGTTCCACAAAACACAGGCAGCGTTTCAAGAGGACAGAGGTTACAAACTTTAGTTCAAGTCTGCCATGAAACGCGGCACCCCAAAGTCCCAATTTAATGTTTCTATATATGGACAGTTTGCAAACGGTATTATTTCCAGTAACTGCCAGCAGTGTGAAATTGCCCTGATTCCCAAACCCTGCTGACCTCCTTCCTCCTTTTGCCTTGTGGGAAGATGAGCTGTGAACACACCAAGTGCTTCAGCGGGGGCACGATCTGAGTGCAAAAGGTGTAGCTGCACCCAAACACATCACCTGGCTTTCCAAATCTCCTGTTCCTGGCAGGAATAAGACGGGAAGATCCGAGAAAGAGACTTTTTCAGAACTGCTGGGTTTATGGGCAAGCGGAGTCTACTTAGTGTGGAGATCAGTTAAGATGTTGCATACTGAATCCTCAGTGCCTGTTTTTGAGTCCCTCAACAGCTGCCTCGTTACATACCTGTCACGTATAAGTTATTCCTTGGGCAAGAGCGGGCTAAGAATGTTTGGATCCAGAATGCAGCTTGACTTTCACGTGGGAGGGGATCAGCGTGGCATTTTATCAGTACAGCTTTAACTTGAGAAATCCGGAAGACGGTTAAATGCCACGTCATGTTCCGCAGCTCCAGGAAGGGATAGGGACGTCTCAGATCTTCAGAGGGCTTACCTATTCGGTTGTAATTTCTTGGCAGCATTTCTAGGGGGTGTTTCAGGTGGGTGGGGGGTGAACAGTTAGACTACCACGTGGTTCTGCTGTTTTGGGTTGGGGTGGGTTTTTTTGCTTTATTTCTTTCTTTAAGGTATGCAGACACTTTCAAACTAAGTAGATCCCTTTTCATGCAGTCCAATTTAAAACATTAAAAAGTTTATAGGTCGATGAAAGGACTATAAACGTTCACTCCTGCTTCTGTGGATGACAAACAATGCTTGAGGACGAAGTGGCATCATCAATGCCATATAGTTACAATGATGCTAAAATTCTATGAGCTGTTGGACGTGAAACTTTCAATACCCCATGTCATACACTTAAGAGGTACCTTGGACCTCTTAATCTCAGAACATGTTGTGGTTCCCCTGCCGCCACGCAAATGGAGATAGTAATTCTCAGTTGAGAGATGTATTCTCTGAGGTTTTGATAGTTGAACTCCGGAAAATGAAACAAACTCGTGAGGTACGAACCCAGTCTGTGGGGAAAGGCCTGCCCCTCTTGAGGAGACACATTATCTTTCACCATCTTTGCACTTCTCGTTTAGGGGCAAAGTATACATTCAGTAATGGACCTATAAATAGAAAACCTAGACGTAAACACTTTTCAAAGCCCCAGAAAAATATTTAATGCATTTTTTTTTCTTTAAAATTTTTCAAGGTAGCTTGTGGTCAACAAGATGAAAGATCCCATTCAACAGCTACTTACAGATTATTGGTATTTTATTTCTTGATGCTGCTACTTAATCAGCATCAAGCAATTACTTCATCCCTCAAACTACCTAAGAAAGCAGCACACAAAAACTAACTCCTGTACCTTGCCGCTTCAGGCTCCCTACCATGTGATTATTGTAAAAATAGATACTTGGGACAGGACCTATGGCGCTACTCTGCTTCGCTGTCTCTGCAGCATTTAGGACATACCTGCTCCTCCAGGACGTAGGCAAGTTCAGCGCCCAGCTCCCGGAGGTGGGGGAGAGAACGGGGTGGCTCAGAAACGGGCCCTGCAGGCGCTGCCGCAGCCAAGGCCGGGGAGGAAGGAGGAGCTCCGAGGGCCACACATGGTCTGTGGTAGGTGTCCATTTGGGACTGGTACTCGGAGCATGAAATCCTGTCCTGGGTTTAGGTCTCCACCTCAACCTTCTGGAGATTTAAATTAAAAACCTGACAATGGTAGCAGGACCGGCGACACCTTTAATATGAAATAGGGGAAGGGATAGAGCACTTTTCCTGTAGTGACAGACCTGAGACTTAGCTCACGTCTTCCACCCTTCAGAGGACTGGCCATTACACAGCTTTCTGGCTGGAGCTGTGGCGATGGTAAAACACCATCCTTGGGGCAGATAACTACGGTAGGTGCAGGATTTACTTGCTGAACGTTAAGGGCACATCTCGGGAAGACGCAGGTTCAAGGCTTTGTTCCTCGGTAAGAAAAATCCACAGTAAAGGATTAGTCTGTCCCCTTATTGCATCTGCTTGTCCTAAGTATTTGTGTATGTATCAAATGTTCATAAATATACCAACTGGTTTAATAAAGGATATCAATCCTCCCTATAGCATCTTGCTTTTCTTGATCTACCCCAGCTACACGAACGCTGCTTAGGAAGTGCCACCATGGAACCGCAGGCCACCCAGCTGCAGAGGCGCGCGGCTGTCAGCCTCCTGCTGCATCTGAGCAAAAAACTTTGCCTTTAAATGAAGGCTTTGGTACTTTCTCCTTGGCCCGGGGTAGCAGAACAGGGCTCTGTACGCCAGAGATGCTGTTCACCCGAGGCTGTAGGTAGAAACACCTGTAACAGAGGGATTACCAGGGAGTTTGGCTCTTTTTTGGACACGAACATAGCGTGATCTCCAAAACCCGCTGCTGGCGTGGAGCGGTGCGCGCGATGCTGGGGAAGGCACCATTTCAGTGTTTCGCCGACGGTCACGGCGTGGAG